TTAGCGTTGGGCAGGCCTGCGTGTGCCTCCGCTGGGGGCAGAAGTCACCACCCCAGTCCCCACCCACCAGCTTCTGCCTGTGTGTGTGCCTCCATCGGAGCGGCCTCCATCTCTGAGGTAGCCTGAAGTTACCGCTGGTCAAGCCTGTGAGTGCCTGTGGTGGGAGCGGAAGTCCCCACCCCCATCTCTGCCCACCAGCTCTGGTTGTGACTGGAACACCGTTAGGACTGATTAGATTACATATAGATATAGATATAGATTAGATATAGATATAGATATAGATATAGATATAGATTAAGAAAAAAATTTCAAAAAAAATTAAAAAATTTCAAACCATCAAAAACCATGAAAAAGTTGGAAGTTAAAATCAGGGAAAATATTTTATATAGAGCAGCGGTTCTCAACCTGTGGGTCGCAACCCCTTTGGCGGTCGAACGACCCTTTCACAGGGGTCGCCTAAGACCATCCTGCATATCAGATATTTACATTACGATTCATAACAGTAGCAACATTACAGTTATGAAGTAGCAATGAAAATAATTTTATGGTTGGGTCACAACATGAGGAACTGTATTTAAAGAGCCAGAAGATTGAGAACCACTGGTATAGAGGTTTTCTAAGAAAAAAAAAGTCACTGAATTCCCTAAAATTTCTTTACTACTATGGTATTACTAAGCTTCAATACTGATCCACATGAATTTTCAAAATAATATACAGTAGTTTCGCCTTGTCCACAGGGAATATGTTCTAAGACCTCCCAGTGGATGCCTGAAATTGCAGATAGTTCAGAATTTTATATATATTATGTTTTTTCTTATGCATGTATACATACAATAAAGTTTAATTTATAAATTAGGCACAGTAAAAGATTAACAAATTAAGAATAAAATAGAACAATATAACAATATACTGTAATAAAAATCAAATGAATGTGCTTTCTTAAAATATCTTATTGTACACTACTCACCCTTCTTGCAATGATGTGAGATGATAAAATGCTATGTGTTCAGATGAAGTGAGGTGAATGACATAGGTATTGTGACATAGCATTAGGCTATTATAAAGATTGGTTGAACACAAGCACTGCAATACAGGGACAGTTGACTTGATAATTGAATTGGCTACTAAGTGACTAACATGCATGGAGCTTAGATTTCATCACACTACTTAGAACAGCACACAGTGTAAAACTTATGAATTGCTTATTTCTAGAATTTTCCATTTAATATTTTCAGACTGTGGTTGACTGTAGGCAATTGAAACCTTGGAAAGCGAAAACAGGGATAAGAGGGCACTATTGTATTCAATTTTAGTTTCCAAGGTTTGTTCATTTCATTGTAAATAATCAACAGGTGGCAGCACATACTATTACTAAGCAAAGTTTTAATCTGTGCAAAATATGGGTTCTTGAGAACTTGTATATAAATCAAGCTTTTGTAAATTGAATTCTATTTTTATCATTTAAGAACTTTTTTAATTGCTGATTGGTTTGCAATAAACAATGGCTTATAAAATTTAAAGTTTTGCCCTAGCCTCTGTAAACTAACAAGCCAACACTTAAATGCATTAGAAAGAAACTTTCCAATAAATCTTTTTCTTCTGTGAGTAATTCCCACTCCTGAGGTATGTCATTTGCTTCAGGTTCATTTGAATATATGTATATTAAGCTAAGGAAGGGATTCATCCTGCACTGAATTGTTGTTCATAGAAAAAAATCTGAAATGTATTAATGGATGAATGGAACAAGTGCTAAGAACCACAAGGTATCATTTGTGGGGCACTTGATCCTCAGCATGGTGCTTACTTGCTGACTGCACATGTTCCTCCAAAGGTGGTTCATCTGCTCCCTGAACTGAAGCATATCCAGATGATGCAGTCTCACTGCGATTATCTTCTTCATGAGGAGAGGCACTATTAGAAGTTTCATTGGATACAGGGACTTGTAAAGACACTGATCCATCTTCAATATCCACCTTCGGAAAACATTTGAACAAATTAAAAGTCTCAGAGTACATGCTCTTCTTTGACATATACAAAGTATATTCATAGGTGACTTATTACAGCAATGGTTTTTCTTTTAAATATATTTTTATTGATTTCAGAGAGGAATGAAGAGGGAGAGAGAAACATCAATGATGAGAGAGAATCATTAATTGGCTGACTCCTGCACACCCCATACTAGGGATCGAGCCCACAACCCAGGCACATGCCTTGACCTGGAATTGAACCTTGACCTCCTGGTTCTCAGGTCGACACTCAACTACTGAGCCATGCTGGCTGGGCTACAGAAATGTTTTTAACCTTTTAAACAGATAATGCCTTTTAATAATCACAAAAATCTCTTGCTGGTTTCAGCCAGAGCAGTTGGAGTAATTGGGTCCATTGATGGGCAAAAGATTTTACAAGATTTTCATCACACCTGACATATTCATCTGGGTGATCCCAGTACTTCATAATACAATGCCTGGTACAAGGTAGGCAATAAAAAAAAATATGCGCCCTAACCGGTTTGGCTCAGTTGATAGAGCATCGGCCTGTGGACTGAAAGGTCCTAGGTTCGATTCCGGTCAAGGGCATGTACCCTGGTTGCAGAAACATCCCCAGTAGGGAGTGTGCAGGAGGCAGCTGATCGATGTTTCTCTCTCATCAATGATTCTAACTCTCTATCCCTCTCTCTTCCTCTCTGTAAAAAATCAATAAAATATATTTTTTAAAAATATTATGCTGTTCTTAAGGGAATTGAGAATTACTGTATTCTATATCTCCTCAAATCAGGAAGATTTTGTTGAGTTTGACTTTCTGTTGTGTGTACTGTGGAAGAGGTAGTTTTTTTCATTTACCAAATCTATATATATAAAAAGCCCATGGTTTTAATGCCGTAACGACCAAATAACCGGTCACCAGGAGGTGCATTGATGGGTCTTGCTGGCACAATGGATCTGGGGTCCTGCCATGTGCAATAGGTCTGGGGTCCCACCTTGTGTGGTGGGTCTGGGCTCTGGGGTCCCACTTCACGTGGCAGGTCTGGGATTTGGGGTCCCACCTCACACAGCATGTCTGGGGTCTGGGATCCTGCCTTGTGCGGCGGGTCTGGGATCTCGCATGATTTTGGCTCACACAGCACGGCCCACAGGCTCCAATCACAGCAAGGCTGGCAGGTGGGGGGGCAGGTGGGGTAGCAGATGGGTGGGTGCGGCAAGGTGGGCTCAGCAAGGAGTGCAAGGGTGGGCAGGGCCATGTGATTTCGCGTGCTGGGCTTCTAGAATAATTATAATTTACTAGAGGCTTGGTGCATGAAATGCGTGCATGGGGGTGTGTGTCCCTCAGCCCAGCCTGCACCCTCTCCAATCTGGGATCCTTTCACAATCCAGGACTGCTGGTTCCAACCGCACTGCCCTCCCCTGCAGGCCATCTTGTGTCGGCCATCTTGTGTCCACATGGGGCAGCCATTTTTGACCACATGGGGGCAGCCATCTTGTGTTGGGGCGACGGTCAATTTGCATATTACTCTTTATTAGATAGGATTACTTATACTTTCTGAAACTATAGAAGCTCATTTATCTATAAGTTTGGTTGCTATGGAATAGTAAGACAGTAAAAATGAGAGCGGGGTACTACAAGCCAGTTGGTAGTTTATAAGAACATTACTTCAAATTCTGACCAAAGAATAAGTACATTTGAGAAAAGGGGGAAAGACAGAAAATGGAGGTAGTTCAATATGGTACCTTACTGTCACTATGATATAAATAGGTTCAATTTTTGGTATACACTGTAAGTCTAGCACATTACATAGCTAAAAAATAAGGATGTTATTCTCCTGAAGCCCAGATACATAAATTATACATTGCTTGAGTTCCTTCATATAAAGAGTTTAGTAATGTTTACCTCAATTCCCAAAGCTTTGAGTATATCACATTTGCACATGGGGCAAGTCCTATGTTCTAACAGCCATGGATCAACACATGTCTTATGGAAAATATGGCTAATGAAGGAAAAAAAAAATTATCAGTTGTGAAATAGCAACAACACTTTGCCTAATGTATTAATAGGTTACCCTGTAATTTCACTTAGCCTTTTAACAGATGTTTGTTTTTTCTCTTTTAAACACACTATTACAAGCAGCAATTTTCAACCTTTTTCATCTCATGACACACATAAACTAGTTACTCAATTCTGTGGCACACCAAAAAATGTATGATTTTTTTTGCCAATCTGACAAAAAACTAGGTATAATTTTGATTCATTCATACCAGACAGTCTATTGTGTTGGCCACTGTCATTTTTTATTTGACAATTTAAGGGAAAAGAGATCAGTGCCCCTAACTAAGTAGTCAGGTAATGCATGTTTTAAAAATTCTTGTGGCCTATGGGTTGAAAATAGCTGTATTACAGCATAAATACCAAGAAGGAGCCACAGAAGCAAAATTTGGAAATTTCATAATATAGTATTTTTTAATATAAAAGCCCTATTATTCTAGCTTCAAAAGATATAGTTTCAATACTCATTACTCGAAAAATGACTAAGACACTGCTGTCCTAAGACTTTGTTCAGTATTTCAGATCTTAATTATCTTGTCATTCCCTAACTGTAAAATGGTATGGTTGGTCATTCCCAATAATATAGTACAATACAGTATTGAATACAACATAGTGCTGATTCTTTAGGCAATATTATACATGCTTTTTAGTAGCTAAAAGAAAAGAGTGTTAAGAACAACTTTCAGGAGAGAGATAATAAATAAAAAAACCCACAAAAGAATGAATTCTTCCAAATAGGCACTAATAAGTTGATGTTATGTTTTTTCCTTAATAGAATTGCTAGCATGAATTTAAATAACCTAGTATATATACAGTATAATTGTGGTGCTGACTAGGTTCTCAGTTTTATATGAAACTCGTTTACAAATTTTATCAAATTATGGACACTTTATATAATTAGCCATATATCAATTTCAATATTATTAAAAATAATGCATTCTCCTATATTTAAATGAAAATAACAAAATAAATACTTTAGGGGGTAGGGGAGGCTGGGGGAAGGTCAAGGGGGAAAAAAGGAGACATATGTAATACGCTTTGTAATACTTTAAGCAATAAAACAAATTTAATAAATAAATAAACAAATACTTTATTTACATAAACTTGGAAATATTCAAAATATTTTCCCCCATTACGATCATTTTTGTAAATCAGCTATTCTTATTGATGATATAAATGAAAATCAAACTTACTTGCAGGTTAAGATGCGCACTAAATCATTTGGTTTATACAGTTCAATACACACAGCACAACTATCTCCATCAGGACCAATTTCCTATGAGCAAATAGTTATTGTTACTCTAATGGATAAGAAACAATACATTAAACTACAGAACAAGATCAGAATATACATGTCTTAAATTGCATAAGTTCCTATAGAAAGAAGAACATCATATTACTAAATGACTATGTTTAATACGCAATTTAAAATTATTTACACTTTAAAATGTCAAACTTATAGAAACAGAGAGTAGAAACGTGGTTGTCAGGGACTGGAGGTGGAGGAAATTGGCAGAAGTTGGTAAAAGGGTACAAACTTTCAGCTATAAGGTCTGAGGATCTAATTAAAACATGGTGACTACAGTTGATTACACTGCATTACATAATTGCAATTTAAAATAAAATTATTTAGACTTAAAAATGTAAAAGAATAAAGTTATATAAAAGGGGAATAGCACAAAGAAAAACATGGAGCACTTATTTAAACCCTTTTCCTAGATTTAATTTACAAAATGCCATTTGTACAATTCTTTAGCTATGTTGTCCCATTTATTTATTTTTATTATTATTTTTTAATCCTCACCCTAGAATATTTTTCCATTGATTCTTTTAAGAGAATGGAAGCGAGAAAGACAGAGAGAAATATCAATGTGAGAGAAACAAATCAATTCGTTGTCTCCTGCATGAGCCCTGACCAGGGCCCGGGCCAGAGAGGATCCTGCAACTGAGGTACCGGCCCTTAACTGGTATTGAACCCGCAACCCTTTGGTCCGCAGGCCCACACTCTATCCACTGAGCCAAACCGGCTAGGGCAATTTAAAGAAAATTAAGATATAAATCACATACAGTAAAATTCACTCTTTTTAGTATGCAGTTTTGCAAGTTTAGACAAACATGCCACTTAATCACCACCACAATCAAAATATAAAATAGTTTTATTACCTCAACAAATTCCTCTGTACCCCTTTGTAGTTACCTCTCCTCTTACCCCCACCCTCTGGCAACCACTGATCTGTTTTCAGTTTCTATACTTTTGGCTTTTCTAGAATTTCATATACTAGTAAATGGACTCCTGCATTTGAGTCTGACTTCTTTCAGTTAACATAATGCATTTGAGAGTCATTCATATTGTTGTGTGTATTGGTAGGGTCCTCTCCCTTTATACTGTTAACCGGTATTCCGGGATATCAATGTACCACAGTTATTTATCCATTCACCAATTGAAGGACATTTGGGTTCTTTCCCATTGTTGGTAATTATTAATAAAGCTGAACAATTGTGTACAAGTTTTTATGTGAACACATTTTTTTCCCTCTAGGGTAAATATTTAGTAGTGAGATTGCTGTGTTGTTTGCAAAGTGTATATTTGACTTCATAAAGAACCACCAAACTGTTTTCCAAACTGGCTGAACATTGCATTCTCACCAGCAAATGCATAAGAATTCCAGTTTTTCCACATCTTCGCCAGCTCTTGGTATTGTCAATTGTATTTGTTTCAGCCATTGTAATGAATGTGCTGTGTTATCGCATTGTAGTTTGTATTTGCATTTCCCTAATGAATAATGATGTTGAGCATCCTTTTATGTGCTTTTTTGCCATCCATGTGGTAACATGTCTTTTGCCCATTTTTCACTAGGTTGCTTGTTTTTTTACTGTTGAGTCTTGAGAGTTCTTCATAGATTCTGGATACAGCTCTTTATCAGATATGGGGTTTGCAGATATTTTCTCCCAGTCTGTTGCTTGTCTTTTCATTCTCTTTTTAAAAAATATATATTTTATTGATTTTTTTACAGAGAGGAAGGGAGAAGGAGGGGATAGAGAGTTAGAAACATCGATGAGAGAGAAACATCGACTCAGCTGCCTCCTGCACATTCCCTACTGGGGATTTGCCCACAACCAAGGTACATGCTCTTGACCGGAATCGAACCTGGGACCCTTCAGTCTGCAGGCCGACACTCTATCCACTGAGCCAAACCAGTCAGGGTAGTCTTTTCATTCTCTTAACAGTGTCTTTCAAAGAGCAAAAATTCTTAATTTTGACAGAGTTAAATTTCTCATTTTTTTTTTCTTTAATGGGCATGCTTTTGGTATCACATTTAAGTAATTTTTGCCTAACCCAAGCCATGAAGATATTTTGCTCTGAAGTTTTCCTCTAAAAATTTCATAGTTCTAGGTTTTATATTTAGGCCTGTGATCCATTTTGAGTTAATTTTCACAAAGAGTATAAAGTATGGATTGAGGTTCACTTTTGCATATGGATATTAAATCATTGCATATAGAGACCCAACAATTGGCTATTTTTCTTCATTGAATTGCCTTTCCACCTTTGTCAAAATCAATTTACCATATATATGCTGGTCTCTTTCTGGACTTCCTCTTCTATTCCATTGATTTAAATAAAGATCTCTCCTTTCTCCAATACCACAATATCTTAAAAAAATAATTCTGCAAATCAGGTAATGTGAGTCATCCAAATGTTCTTCTTTACAAAAATTGCTTTGGTTATTGTAGTTCTTTTGATTTCCTTATAAGCCTAGAATCAACTTGTCAATTTCTATAAAAGATCCAACTAGGATTTTGATTGAAACTACATTGAATAAATAGATTAGTTTTTTTTGGGGGGGGAATTGATATTTTTACAACAGTGAGTATTCTGACCCATGCACATTTATTTAGGTCTTCCTTTATTTCTTTCTTCTTTTATGTTTTGCAGTTTTTAGCATATAGATCTTATGCATATTTTGTAAGATTTATACCTAAGTATTTAATGGTTTTGGTGCTATTATAAATGGTATTTTTATTTTTATCATTTCATGTACTAGAACATGCTGAGCTATGTTATGAAAATTTATACAACTACCCACTTTGTCCACATACCCTATACTACTTATGACCAACTGGTGTAACATTAAAAGCCACATCTACATATTGGCATAGATCTTACTGATTGTTAAGCTTAAACTTGTGACCATAGTTGCTATCACTCTAACATTCTGATCTCACCAACCAACAAGCCACATATACACTTTTATAGTATAGCTGATTTAAAATGAAGAGCAGCAGAAGCAACATAACATGGCATGGCATAGAGAAAACCCTAGAGATGATTAGTCCAATGTGCTCATTTTTCAAACTTGTGCTGTCTAATTCAGTAGCCACTAACCACATGTGCCTGAAATGTGACTGATTTGAACTGAAATGTGCCATAAGTATAAAATATACACTAGATGTTGAAGACTTAGTAAAATATAAATGTAAAATATTGCATTACTAATTATATATTGATTACATGTTGAAATGATTATATTTTAGATATATTATACTAGGCATTAAAATTAATTTGTCTTTTTAAAACTTTTTAATGTGGCTACTAGAAAATTTATTTGTTCATTTTTTATTTTAGTGAATTGGTGTTTTTTTATTTCAATAAGTTTTATATTTTTGATACACAATTTACACATTAATGGTAGTTTTCAACTGTCTTAACCTGAACCTAATTATTTAAGTAAAGCTATATTGAAGCATTGTATTAGTTTCCTATTGTTCCTAAAACAATTTACTCTTACTTTATGGTTTAAATAACAAATTTATTTTCTTATTGCCTTGGAAATCATAATTTAAAAATTCAAGGTGTTGGCAGTGCTGTGCTACTTCTGAAGACTTCAGGGGTGAATCCCTTTCCTTACCTTTTCCAGATTCTAGAGGGTGTCTGCATTCCTTGACTCATGGCCTCCTTCTTGTGTCACCACCCAACCTCTTGTTTCCATGTACCGTAGTCAAATCTGCCCCTTCCTCCCTCTAACAATGATACTGTGATTATATTTAGGATCCACTGGGATAATCCAGGATAACCTCCCCATCTCAAGATCCTTCCTTAATTGAATCACATATGCAAAAGTTCTTTTTTGCCATATAAAGTAACATTTACAAGTTCAGGGACTAGAACCTAGATAGCTTTGGGAGTCATTATTCAGCCTATCTTCAACATTGAATAAATTTTAAAAGTAAAGATTTATAAATTCAAATGAAAATACTACTTTGGAAGAACATTTAGCTTTAACAATGGCTTGCTAAGCATTGCTTTAAAACAAAAGGCATTTTTAAGTCACAAATGTACCTTGTCCCCTTGTTTCAGTGTGCGTAGTTGAAGCCTTCCAATAGCTTTTTTAGCATCTGCCTTTAATTGTCTCTGTAATAAAAAAGAATAGGTATTACAAAAACTATTAAAAATACAATGATAGAGTTATAATTAAAAATATTTATTCAGTTAAATGTATTTTAAAAGATAAATTTTTTTTAAATATAAAATTTAATTAATTATAATAATTGTCTTACTTATCTGATACGGGGCAGGATTTTTTAAAGTACTGAAACTTTTCACTTATTATGTTTCTCTAACTTCTTAAACAGCGTCTTCGGGCTACAATAGTAAAATCTACGTGTCCCCATTCCAAATGAATTCAAATGTTATGAATTTTCAAAGCAATATTCTTATTTTCAAGCTCAGAGAATCTTTTCCTTTCTTTAAAAAATCATTTCTGACTTGGTAGAAAGTACACAGGATTTGGATTTAAATGGACCTAGATTAAAATCTGACTTTGTTACTTATTAAATGAATAATCCTGAACAACTCATTTAATTCTTTGAGCTTGTTTACACATCTATAAATTAAGGATATTACCAACCCTTACAGTGTTATTTAGTATTAGGAAAAATAATTACTGTTTATAATCACTACTACCTTGTAAAGAGGGTGGCTTCTGAGAGTGGTAGGCCTGTTTTTTTTCCTACTGAGCACATACCTACAGGAGTCTGGGCATGTAAAGACAAGCCCCAGGCTCATTTAAGGAATAAGGACTAAAATGTAGTACATAATTGAATCAGAAGTAAAATTGGGGTATAGGGGAAATCCGAGATTGGGAAAAGATAAGAAAAAGAGTAATCAATGAGAAACTCTCCTTCTATGTGAGATGAACTGTTCAAAGATAAAAAATCCCAGGTGGTATGATTTATTCAGTGTTAATCTGAAGTTATTTGTGATGCTGCAAAAAGATAAGTCCCTTTCATTAAAATCTACCTCATACACAAATACCTCAATTGAATATAATATATGTGTAAAATGAAGAAGAAGCCAGTTGTGACACCTGGATGGATGCTCTGTGGAATAGAGAGATAGTATGTGCAGCATGGCAAGATAATAAACTATCTTCCTATTTTAAACTGCAAAATGAACAAACTTGGTAGAAATTCAGTAAAAAGTAAGCACCTAGAACCAGAGGTCATTGTGAGAATGTAAACAGCTTCTTCATCCTTATATATGTATCTTCATCCTTATATATGTATCTCCATCCCCAGGAGGGAGACCTACATCTGACATTTATGTGATGTGAAAATTAGAGATAATTCAAGTATCTAGTGTAATATCTGGCATATAGCAGACACTAAATAAAATGTTTATTAAATGAAAATATAAACTACTATTCAAAATAAGCATAACAGGTTCTTGTAACATGTTTATATATAACTGCAGCAAATATATGTTGGAAGGAAATAATCCATGAATGTAGGTATGTAAGGAAATTCCTTAATGCTCAAACCTACCTCCTACATAAGATATCATTATGTGAAAGGTATTTGGCTTAATGCCAAGAAGATTACTATCTAAACTATTTATTTGCTATCACAGGAACAACAGAAACTTCTCAGATTGTTACCTGACCAGCAAATATAACTTAATAGAAATAGTTAATAGGAAGGCCTAGTCCTCAGAAGGAAAGAAGTGCTAATCGAGGTCCCTTCATTCTCATTTTGGGACTTAATTATGAATTAACTCACAAGGAGAATTCTATGATGGCACTTTATTTTGAGCACAAATATTTTCCCTTCAATTTTGTTACTTATAGTTCATATATATAAAAGCCCAGTGACCAAACAGTGGAATGACCAGAACAACCAGTTGCTATGATGCACACAGCGGCAGCCAACCGCCTGATCCGGGCCCTGACTGCCCCCCCAACCTCCC